TTGTCGTCTGAAAAAAATAGGGCTACTGATTTTTTTGAGTTTATCTTGTATCCTGCTAGTTTGCTGAAGGTGTTTATCAGCTGTAGGAGTTCCCTGGTAGAGTTTATTGGGTCGCTTATGTAAACTATCATATCATCTGCAAATAGAGACAGTTTGACTTCTTCCTTTCCAATTTGGATGCCCTTGATCTCCTTTTGTTGTCTTATAGCATTAGCTAGAACTTCTAGTACGATATTGAAGAGATATGGAGAGAGAGGACAGCCTTGTCTTGCTCCTGATTATTCTAGCTTTTTTGAGCTTGAAATTTGTCTTCTAAAGTTGTGTGCAAGAACAAGTATTCAAATACAGCTAGAAAATTCTGGAAAAAAAAGTGTAACAATAAAACATACTATAAAACTACGATAAAACGGAATTACTTTGCTTCTAAAATTGCTGAACTGATGAGCAAAACAGAAGAAAAAAACAAGAAGTAGATCCCAATTAAGAATTTAAGAGTTGTTGATGTAGCTCAATTAGTAGAGCCCTTGCCTTCCACATAAGAAGTTATAGGTTCCTTTCCTAGCAAGACATAGATCCTTTCTTTAAAAAAGCAACTAAAATTGTCCTCACAAATTTGTAGTCTATCCTGGAAGAGTTAAAATAATTAAGATGTTGTATAGGAGGCATGGAGATCCTTGTGCTCACAGGTAAGCATTGCGGAAACTAGAAATGTCAAATACACAAGAGTGTCTCTTCAGAGAGATACATAAACTGTTTTCCACCCAGAAGGCTGGAAGCAGATGTGGTTAATAGCCTGGCAACCTTTACACTATCTGTGTGGCTGAGACCACACTGAATTGTCACTCGACCCTTATTTTGACCTTGTTTTTCTCAGTTAATCCATAGAACCCATCTTTCTGGAAGATGTCTTATGTCAATCTATAGAAGCCGTATTACTGGAAGATGTCACATGTACATAGCAGATAATTTTGAGATATTCATGTTTTAAGCTTTGTTGTCCACACATAGTTAAGTATCACTACAGTTTATTTTTCCATCAAATTGTGCTGTGCTTAAATATGCCTAAAATATGATCACACTCTTGAAGTTTCAATCAACACTGGCTATTGAGTCATGAGTCCCACCATGGACTGTTCTCTGCTGGCTGTGGTAGTCACAGGAATCATTGTGTGGGTGAAACTTTTAAATCTCTCTCTCTCTCTCTCTCTCTCTCTCTCTCTCACACACACACACACACACCATATATTCCACAAAATGTTCTTTTTACTTGAATAGAAGTGTTGTAAAAATTCATCTCTATTTATTTTTAGTTTTTAAAATATTTAACTTTTTATGTGCATTGGTGTAAGGATACCAGATTCCCTGGAGCTGGAGTTACAGACAGGTTTGAGCTGCTATGTGGGTGCTTTGAATAGAACCTGGCTCCTCTGGAAGAGCAACCAGTACTTTTATAGTCATTGAACAAATCAGTGCATTTACCAAATGCATTGATGGAGACATTAGGTAGGCAGGTCCTTGATAAAGGCTTTGGATACCATCTGACGGCATTTTTAGCTTCTGAGTTGGTAAAATACTACTAAAGTTTTATCTGATAGTGAAAATTATGTTATGTGTGGTGGTAAACTGTTATTAAAGGGAATAAAGACAGGTGAACAATTCTGGCATTGAACCTGCCATATTCTGACTCTCCATAATCATTGGCATTGAATCTGTAATACCAGAACTTTCCATAATCATGCTGTTCTAGTCAAGCCATTTCAGAGTTTGTAACACAGATGTTGCCTTTTTGGGGATTTCCATTCATAGTTGCTCCTATTTGGTGAAGCATCACATTTTGGGCATTTGAAAGCCAAACACTGTTTTGTGTTCCTATATGCCAGGAAGATACTTTCCTAGTATCTTATAGGTTGAGAAGGCTGAGAATAGTCTGATAGGGCCTCTTCCTTGATACTGAAGGGACCTTTGATGTAACATCTTTCCGAAAAAGGGAATCACTTGGTTTCTTCTCTTGGTCATTTAGTTCTTCATTTTCTAGGAGCTTACTGTGGAAAGATGACATCTAAGAAAGGAGACAAAATAGACACAAAGGGTCTGGGCTGGTCTTGGTGCTGATCCAGTTGTCTTTTCCAATGAAAGTGGCTACTCTTGGGTGTCCTGCTCAGATTACCAAGGCTGTTCATATCTGAGCTAGATGGAATTAGATTCCTTTTCTTATAAACTTTGCAAGGCAGGAGACTTTGTCTGAAAAAGGTCAAATTCAAACCAGTCCTTCTTTGTTGCTTATATCTATTGTCTTTTTTTTTCTCAGCACATACTTGAGGTCCTCTATTGGTATGTAAGTTTAGAGATGGAGGAAATTTAGAACTATTTTTATTTGTTGATGTTGGATTTATTCTACTGTCATCATGTATACTATGAATTGAATCTCCCAGAAAACACACACATGCATACACACACACACACACACACACACACACACACACACACACACACACCTTTACATAAAGATTCCACATGGTTTACAGAATGGCTACCACATGATTGTGCAGAGTTGGGGTGTTGCAGGCACAGAGTGAAACTACTTTGGGCTATTTTGATTTGTCTTAATATTCATTGCCCACCTCTATGTCTAACCTTATATCCTTTTAACTACTGTGGAACAGTGTTTGCAAAATATTTAACAGACTAGTAGCTCCCACACACCCCAAAGCTAGAAATTCTATCAAACATATCTGAGAATCATAACAGAGATGTCCTCCCTTTGCTGTAATCTACCTGATGTTTCCACCAATGTATTTGAAAATGCCTTGATTTATGACTTTCTGTTCCTCTGTGGCTTTTATAAGAGCTTCATGAAACTATTTCCAAATTGAGATATGCCATTCTGTCGAGTGCTATTGCCTTGCCTGCACGAACGACGCTCAACAGCAGGATTCTTCTGCAGCTATGTTTATTGCGCGGCTCATTACAGCAAGTTGAGGGAAGACCCCGAGGAGGAAAAAGGGCTCTGCTTATATATGCTCAGAGGAGTCGTGTCCGTTATTGACAGGTGCACCCCATGACGTGGATCGCGCATCTGTGCCTTGCTGGCTTATGGACAGGAAACCGGCACCATCTTCGGGAATGGTACCTATGGCTCTACACCATTCAATGATAAGTTTTTCTAATTATTCTCCATCAATTAAAAACTCAGGAGTCAGATATTGTGGTAAGAACCTGAATGATCAGAGAAGCAGTGGAGAAACTACCAGTGACTACCTCTCTCTTTCATTCCTTGATTCAAAAAGGCCAAGACTCTCTTTTATCTCCACCCTACTACTTCCTATCAATCCTCTGAAACCTCTATGCTTAATTTTGGTCAGCTAGTAGCTAGCTCTGCTCTCTGATTCAAAGTAAATTTTATTGACAGCCCTGGGAGTATCAGAATGCGATCAAAATATCACACAATTTGGGGCACCCTGAATTACATGTCTCTGGGGCAAGGTCTATTCAGCACAAGAATAAACCATCTCTTACCTCCTTTGAATGACAGGTATTTTGTCTTGACAGTACTTTACATGTGAATAAGTTTTAAGGAACCAGGAGGTAGAACCAACCCAACGGGTGGACAGACAAGAAAAGGAAGGACACATAACAATAAAGATTGCCAACTTCAGGCTTCTTCCTCTTCACTCTTACCTGTGACAAAGGCCTGACATGCTTTTTCTCAGGCCTGCAGCTTCCCCTCCACACCTTCCAGCTGACTGGTGGTCAAAGCTGGTCTATAAAACTCATTTTTCTGAAGCTGTGGTCCTGTCAGCTCCTCCTTCTTTCCATAAATTGCTCCACCTTCTTTGCATAAATTGATCAGTCTGTCAGTCTGAAATGGGAGGAGAGGGGGACTAATCCTAGGCCACCAAAAACACTTAACACTCTTAATCCCTGTGGGTGTACTTCTTCATTTTTAATAAAATTTACCTATTGCTGCCTGCTATGTTTGAGTTTTTCCTGCTTTTAATTCTTTAATTGCAGAGTACAGCCTGACCAAGACTCCTAGAAGGTAACATGTCTCTTTTTTGTGTGTGTACTTTGCCAGGAAGCCTAATTTATTTTGAACTTAATTAAAATAACTGTGTATGATTCGGTGCAGCCCTATTCAGCAACTATCCTTCCCGTTTCTCTAATGCAGCTGTACTTTCATTGGCCTTTCTTTGGGAAGCATGAGCTATGGTGTTGTGTTTCATTATATTGTAGACACTTCAAGTCTCAAATCCCTTACGGCACTAGAGAAACAGCATAAACAACCCAGAACCACAGATTCAGAACGTGGTGTTTTCCTCAAGACTGTTGACTTGGTATTTTCAAAAAGCCAACATTTTAAAAAGCAGAAAAAGGGTAAGGAATTGCTATAGCTTGAGAAATGAAGAAATCAAAACAAATACAAAAAAGAAAAAAAAGGCACAAGACAAACAGCAAAACAAGAGACCAGTAAACAAGCCACCCAATCCCAGCAAACCAACTAATGCTGGAAGTGATCACGTTGCAAAAAACAAATAATGAATAAAATAATAACAATAATAATAATGATAGCAGCAGTGGTAGTAGTATGAAAGATTATTTGAGACTAAGAATTTCTAAGAGAGTTAGGTAACAGCACGTAAATTACTCGGAGGTTGGCAACACGAGATTAGGAAGGGTAGGTAGTCTTTGTTTCGGCGGTGGCTATTTTCTTACGTGTTGTTTTGCTCGCAATTGAGGGAGAAACAGCCAAGTGTTCACAAATCCTTTTTTTTTTTTTTTAATACAAGTACGTCAACTATGTCTGGAGGCTAAGTGTCGGATTTGACGAGTTTGACAGCGGGTAGTATTGATGAATTAGGGAGTGTAAACGGCTTTCATTGTTTTTGCCGCTGTTACTATGACATCACCGCAAAGCTAGAAATACGGCCCCTCCAAGGCACCCGGGATCTCGCGATACTATGGTTGGAGAGGAGCGCACCGCTGGAGGGCGGGGTAGGGAGAACGAGTAACTTCCGGCCAGGCCGCTGTCTGAGTGGCGCGGCCGGGTCCTCTCGGGTCTCGCAGCTCCTTTCTTCCACGGCCGTCCCCCCGCCTCGTGCGGGGGGTTGGGCGGCCGCGGGAGGCCACTCAGACCTTCCCGGTGCCCGCGGTTCGTTCCGCGCCGTGGCTGTGCGCGCGGGGGCCCGGGGTCTGCGGGGCTGCGGCCTACCCGGGCCCGCCGCCCGGCTCCATGAGGCACAGCTTGGCCAAGCTGCTGGCAGCCTCGGGCCGCGGCTTGTCGGGCCCCTGCGACAGCCCGGAGCCTCCAGCCTCGCGCGCACCGCCCCGGAACCCGACAGCGGCGGCCGCGGGGGCGGAGACGTCAAGGTCCGGATCGCCTGACCGCGAGCTGCGGCTTGGCGACGGGGGCGAGCCGGAGGCCGGGAGCGGGAGCCGCCGCAGCGTGGCCGTGCGCGCGCCCGCGCCCTCGCCCTCGCCAGTGAAGATGGAGGAGGAAGAGGAGGACGCGATCGCCATGGTCCCAAAGGAGGAGCCGGAGGATATGGACTTTCTCTCTGGGCTGGAACTGGCCGATCTGCTGGACCCTCGGCAACCGGACTGGCACCTGGAGCCCGGACTCAGCTCGCCTGGGCCCCTGTCCTCGTCCGGCGGAGGCTCGGATAGCGGCGGCCTGTTGAGGGGGGACGAAGACGACGAGAGCGCGGCTGCCGAGATGCAGCGCTTCTCTGACTTGCTGCAGAGGCTGTTAAACGGCATCGGAGGCTGCAGCGGCGGCGGTGACCGCGGCAGCGCGGAAAAGAGGCGGAGGAAGTCCCCGGGAGGAGGCGGTGGCACCTCCGACAGCAACCCAGCAGCCACCAAGAGTCCTCGGAAGGCGGCGGCGGCCGCCGCCCGGCTTAATCGGCTCAAGAAGAAGGAGTACGTGATGGGGCTGGAGAGTCGAGTCCGGGGACTGGCCGCCGAGAATCAGGAGCTGCGGGCCGAGAATCGGGAGCTGGGCAAACGCGTGCAAGCACTGCAGGAGGAGAGTCGCTACCTACGGGCCGTCCTGGCCAACGAGACGGGACTGGCTCGCCTGCTGAGCCGGCTGAGCGGCGTGGGACTGCGGCTGACCACCTCGCTCTTCAGAGACTCGCCCGCCGGTGACCACGACTACGCCCTGCCGGTGGGGAAGCAGCCGCCGGAGCTGCTGGAAGAGGACGACGCGGCAGGAGGAGTGTGTCTCCATGTGGACAAGGATAAGGTGTCGGTGGAGTTCTGCTCGGCGTGCGCTCGGAAGGCGTCGTCTTCTCTTAAAATGTAGGGTCAAGTAATCTGCTCTTTATCCGCGTTTACCCCTTTCTCTACTCCCTTACACCATGTAAAACACCTTAGTGGGACATCTTCACCGGACACATTTCAGAGGCGGAAAAAAAAGTAATATTAAATCTATTAAGTGTTTAGCTAAAAGCATGAATGTGACACTGTAACCAACTCCTAATGATAACCTGTGACTATTAAATCTCTCTGACAGTTTCTTTTTTAGGTGATTTCCTTCCTGCCAGGCTCCGTTGTAGGGGTTACAGAACAGTCGTTCCCGCCTCACAACCTGGTAAGGATCCATCTCTTCACGTAACGCTCATGCTCTGCTGCTTAGTCTACTTTAATGGGCATCATCTCAATTTGTGTGTGTGTGTGATATAATTTTTTTGTTTGTTTCTTACTTTTTTTTTAAAAGATGGGAGGGAATCTTAATTTGGGCCCTGTCCACCCTGGAAACAGACTTGTGCTGGTCAATAATGTACTTTTAAAGTTGCTTCTGGTTGAACTAGCTGTCAAATGTGTCCCCTTGTTCAGAGTTGCGTGTACCTAGCTCTTCTGTCCCCAGTGTGGACATGGCCTTGGATGACATCGGTTCCAACTGTACACTGAAACCTGCTAATAGAGATACAGTTTGGAGACAGTGAATCAGGTGAAGTTGAATGGAAGTTCCGAGTTGTACAAGGTGCAAATTGGAATTCCAATTGTAGAGCAACTTTTCAGAGGTTGACAATAAGTATTTGAGGCATGCATAAATGTGGGTGTGTTTCTGGAGATGACAAATCTCTTAAAATACTTAAGAATGCCTTCTAATTTTCAATAGAAAATAGAGAAAAACAGTCTATATAAGATCCCATTATTTCATCACTTGAGAAGTTGGAAGTTAACATACCCATCAGATTTCTGTGTTTTAATTAGAGGAAGAATGATTAATGAACTGTTTGAGGACCAGCACAGTAATTACCTAAGTATGAAGAAATTGTTGAAAGCATTTATTTTTGTTGTATTAAAATTTAGGCTAAATTTGTGTATGATTAGATATTGAAGGTTGTGAAATGTGAATGAAAACATGTAAAGTGAGGCTTCACAAAGAATCTTATTTTCCATATGTCTAAAACTTTTGTGTTTTTAAAATTAAATAGTTCTGGCCACTTAATGATATATATGATTGAGGCTGTTTTCCAAAGATGGAAAATATTCTTCCCTTGAAATACTGTTTATTGTCCACTTGTCTAAATCTTTGTTATGATGTCTTGAAGTGCAAGAGACACTAAATTCTTTGTGAAACATCACTGTTTGATAAAGGATATACGTATTTAGCATCCTTGTTTTTCTTTGTGCTAAAGTGGATACAGCTGTTGGGGCAGAAGAGACGGGACCAGCTGCTGGCCACATTTCCTGCTTTATTTTAAAAGGTAGTATAAGAAATAAGGAAAAAGAGGTAATATCAGGGCTTCTGCTGTCTTTTATTTTTAAAATGTTCATAAGTATTTTCCAGCAGTCCAAAGATGTAAGTTATCTTACACGTAAGATGTCTTATTTTGTTATTTGGTTATGGAAATGGATTCTTGTTCTTGCACAACTAACTGTAAATGTTTTGTTGTTAGATAATGATTTGAGACCTAAATTAAGTCTCTGGTTTTCAGTATATCACATTTTGTAAAGTTATCCACTGCACTTGAGCATGAATGGGTAGTAGCCAAACTCTCACAACATGGAGTAATGGACCTGCTTCTACAAGGGCAGGAACAAGCCCCCACAATGCAGCTGCATGGATTTTAGTGCCTACTGAAATATATATACATATATAGAAACCAAAAGTAGTTGGAAACTTATTTGAAATGACTAATTTGTGCTCTTTCTGAAATATGTTAAATGTAGCTTTTGAAACAGAAGCCTTGAATTGAAATTTAATACTTGAACATTTTTGTATATATTTCTTTGTATATAATTTTGTGCAGTACCGATAACAAAAATATGGTGTCATAATAAAATCAGGTTTGTTGATCTTTCAGTTATGGGCTCAAAAGAATTTATTCATCTTTAACATGACATTGGAAAGTAGTGGATAAAACTAGGAAAATGATTGTTGGTAATACAGACTGTGGTCTTAAAAGATTCTGAAAGCAGTAAGTTTGTTTTTCTAAAAATTACACCATTTCCGTGGAATATTTTCTTAACATCTGTGCTTTTCTCCTACATTTGAGGGGTGGTGGGTTTGGGGAGAATCAGTTTCTGGATTGGGATATTTTGAAATTCCAAGTACAGACTTTTAGAATGTCATTTTATAAATGACAGTTTAGAGAATTAAGAGCTCTTGACAGTGGCAAGATTAGAATGGCCTAATTTTTAAATCTGCTTTGTTAGGTTCCGTATGTTTTATTAACTGTCTTTTCTGTTTTCATTTCATTGTTTCTTTTCTAGTTATGGTGACAGTAGTGTTTTTTTGTTTTGTTTTGTTTTGTTTTTTTTCATCAACTCATGGTCTTGTTTTTACATGGTAACTGCATGTATTTAGGACCTACCAGGGGCTTGAAATAAATTTTTATCATATTGATGTGTAAGCACATTTTACTGTAAATGTTTGGGTTGCTCAGTTTACAACAGTTGTTTATTTCAGTGTGTAGTAAATAGTGTCTTAAAGTGTCCTGTTCACTACTTGTTAATTAAAAAAGTTATGATTAATGTAAAACTGTCGTCTTACTATTTTTAGAAATTGTGTTGTAAATAATTAGTATTTGGATAGAGAGTTCTGGAATATAAAGTAGATTTCAGGTTTGGATGTATTTAATGTGATGGTTGAGAACAATTTAGTATTTGGGGAACTATTTCAGGTTTTATTCCTGATTTGTACCTGTGTGGTAAAAAATGATGGAAAACCTAAAGATATAGCTTTTTAATACCTGTCTTCCTATGGTAGTCAATATTCATACATTAATTAACTAACACATATTGGCATAGTAGTTCTATAGTAGTGACTTAAGTTTTATCCTTTTTAACCAGGCTTAACTAAAAAGTACATGTTTGTTAAAAATGTAGTCACACCTCTGATATATCCAACAAAGTATTCAAAATATTTTAAATATCTGTGCATTTTATACTCGCTAAATTAATCTCTTTCTCTTCTCTTTAAACAGCTTAGCAGTATCTGCAAAAACGAATCTTTTCCTACAACCCGTTAACTGACTGGACTGATGGTAACAGTAATTGTGGGAGCCATGTCGGTCAAAAATTTGGCATCTGCTGCAAAACATGAATGCCATTTCCAAGTTCCCAAATTACTTCTATACTGATTACACTTTCCAGAAATGGAGATATGAAAAGATTCTCTGGAATGCTTGAAAGACTTAATAGAAATCCATGAGACTAAGTTAATTATGGAACAAAATTACATCTTTTTACTTTCATGGCAGTAACACTAAATTTATTACATATTTTTTTAAAAACATGTAACCATTAGAGAAGAGAATTATAGTGTTTTATCAAAAAAAACACTAGATTTTTACATAATAAAGAACATTCTGTGGAATTAGATTTAGTGGGTTAGAGTGACATAAATAGGCTAGCAGTGATCACACAACTTATGGGTTTGCATTTATGGAATGTAAAGAGCTGCTTTGGAAGACAGACACCTTGCTTAGTAAAATAAAGTCCTCAACGTAAAGAGTAGTATTTTTAAATAGATGTATTGATTGTATGTTTTTAAAAAGTGACTATGATAATGTGTGGGTGGTATTGCAATTTAGGGTATGCGCTTGTATGCAGTCTCAGATATGGCATGTTGAACATTCTGAGTACTTGATCCTGTTTGAATGTTTTGAGGTTTCTGATGAATGACAGTTTCTACTGTTAAAATTTCTGTAGTGTTCTGTAAGGACCTTCATATTTTGATTGATAATGGCTTATTTCATATTTCAAGTAAAAAAACCACTCAACCCAATCATTTTTTCATTATTGTTGCATTATCTAACATATTTTTCATCTGATCTAGATTGTCATATTTTTTGCCTCATTTGGGAAATATGCAGATAGAAGAGAGAGTTGATAAGAAGTAGTGTTATTATACTGTAATTGTAAGATACTCAGAATTCATTCAAGTCCTCTCTTGTATTCACTTATGTGTTCAGTGTCCATAAAGCTAGAAAGTAAAGAGAATTCCCACAGGCTTATATTTAAAGTAGCAGATGCTCCTACAGTACAGATGATCCACTGTTACTTTGGAATCAAGATGCAATGAGGATAATTCACTAATAACTTGTACCTTAATAACACACAGTTATGTGGTTGAGATATTTTGAAGGTAGAGATCAAGTGCTCACAGATGAGTTAATTTGTGTAACTAAATAAAACAGTGATTCTTCAACGTTCAATAGATAATATTTGTGTTTTCTCCCTCTTTCTGTGTTGATTCTAAGTTGTAAGGCCCACCTTTATATTTTTATTGTGTTCCTGGGCCAGTGTTTCCCCTCTTCACCTATTTAATTAGGAATTAAAAAGGCCTTCCATTATGGCCTTTTTCTCATATATTTGAATTTAAAACACCATTATGTGTGAGCTCAACATTTAACCAGTTACCCTGTTTTACAATACTCTATATTTTTTATTGACTTAAATTTACTATCTGAAAATAGTTTTGTTTACATTAAGAACTGATTAATAGATCTAGTCACAAATTATGTTTGGAGCACTGTATAATTCTGTCAGTGTAAAAATTTGAATTTTATAGCCCCCAAGTGTTTCCAAGTTTTGTATCATCCTGTTGGGGTCAAATTTTTAAGACCCTTCTGGCTCTTACCTGAGATTTGACTTTAATAATACATGTATACAAACATATATACATATACATATATATATCATGAATATTCCTTAAAGCCATGTACCTGGACAGATTTAAAAATTCTAAATCTTTTTAATGGTTTGTCTACTTTAACTGGATCGAACTCTTAACAATATTTCTCACTGAGGTAGGTCTGAGCCACGAAAGGCTAAATTTCCTCAGGTGTTAATGTTCACAGTTCATGGTCATATACCTGCCTTCCGAACAGGTTTTTTTGTAGGCTTATAGCAGTAGACTAAGCATTTATTGCTTAGTTGCCCATTTCTACTAGTTTAAAAAGAGGATTTGACTATGTAGCAGAGAGAAGAGTCCAGGAATCCTTTTGTGATGGAAACAGTTTAACACATAGCTAGAGTGTTAGGAGTAAGGTCCTGGGACCATTTCAAACATAGTAAATGGCTTGTACTTATCAAACAACATTGTTCTTTCCACTGGATTTTTAAGTTGCCTGAAGTTGATTATACCATCTGTGTACCTAAGGAATCTAGTAATTATATTTGATAGTTTTTTAAAGTTTGATCAATTGAATTATGCGTTAAAAGTGAGAATGTAAGTGGACAGTTTTTTTTTTTTTTTTTTTTTAACAGAAAGCTAATCTTGTAACAGGCAATTTTGTACAAAATACATTTTCTCTTTGCAGTTCTAAAAGTAAACCATACTAGAACTTGGGAACTCATAGGAAGCAAAAGAAACCACATGACTAACCCAGGGAAAGATAAAGGAAATACTTTTTCCTTTCTCTTGGAAACTCTTTTTCCTTACCTCATAATTATATTTAAAAAATGCTTTTTGAATAGAGGGCTGGAGAGATGGCTCAGAGGTTAAGAGCACTGGTTGCTCTTCTAGAGGTCCTGAGTTCAATTCCCAGCAATTTCCTAGTGGCTCACAACCATCAATGAGATTTGTACCCTCTTCTGGTGTGCAGACAGACATATCAAGTATATCTTTAAAAAATTTGAATAGAGTACATTTTATGTGTTCTTTGAAAGAACAAATCATCTTTGCATTCCAAAATCTATGCTTTCACTTGAATTCTGATTGTTTTGTTGATAGAGACAAGGATGTTGCAATGGACTAGAAACCACTACTGTACATCAAACTGCTCAAACTTGATACAACGGCCCTGCCTTTTTCTCCCAGTTGCTAGGCATGCCTGGGTTCCCCCCCCCCCCCCCCTTTAGACAGAAGCCTATTTCACATTCAAAGCCACCTTTTCTAAATCAACAAGTCACACTATTTAGAAGGAATAGTTAAGATGTACTTAGAAATGAAACCATATTTAGTATGGTTGTAGACATTGTTAGACTGTTAAGAGTATTTTGTGGTGAGTAGCTGCTTCACAGAGAATCGATCTAATGTGCATTTACTGAGGCTATGTATCCACAGCTCATGATCTTAGAAGCTATGTATGGCTGCTAGTGGCTAATATTAATAGTACAGGTATTTGTCATCACAGAAATTGGACAGTGTTCATTTGGATGCCACAGTAGCAGTTTAAAAAGGCTATGAAACACTTGGGAAGAAGACAGATTGCTCCAGAGACATAAATGATCTAGGGAAGTAACTCCATGAACATACTTTAGAAAGCAAAAATAGGAGCAGTAGGCTGTGAATGGGGTTACTCAGGAAGGTACTGAATTATAGGTTAAATTGCTCAGCACCATAAATGGAAAAATAGAAAACAAACTCAAGCCTGAGAATCTAGAAAACTACTCCATAATAGTTCAAAGCTTAAAAAGGAGACTTTCTAAACCCTGTAGCTCCAAGGACATAGGCTGGGATTGACCCTTTGTGAGGAAGATGAGTGACACTCATGGAAACAGCCTCAACAGAAAAGTAAAGTAATATGCTGTAATTAAAAGAGGGAGAAAAAAAAAAAAAAAAAAAAACCTGTTCCTATTTGGCTTCATGAGGTCTTTGTTCATAATTGCTATGTAGTCATTTTTTTTTTTTTTCTTGTGTTATAGACTAAATGACTTAATGTAAAGGAGTGGTACTGGCAGTGGTTAAGAAACAGTGTTGGGCAAACTAGAGAAATTACGTTTTTTTTACATTTTTGTTTTTTGAGCTATGGATTAAACCTAGGTCCTCTTGCATACTAAAACCATTCTACCACTAACTTACATTCCCAGCCTCAAAACTATGCCCTGTATGTAGTTTTTATTTGGAGTTCCAACTTTTGTTGCTCTGTAGTCTTTTGTTGCAGGTCAGAGTTGTATCTTGTAAAACATTCTAAGTCTGTATTTTTAATATAAGAGACATAGATTATTTTCACCATTTTATTTTTGTTGTACATATTTGCTTCAAATCAATGAATTTTCTAAGCCAGGTTCAGGTAACTGAAGAGCCTTTATGAGGAGTCTATACTGTCTAGACCCAAGGTATGCTGCAAACACAGTCTGAAGTAGAATGGGAAACACCATCTTTCTACAGACAGGCTTAGAAACTGTAATCCAGTAATTTAAGATGTTTCCTCTCCGTGGTAGAGGGCTGGTTTCATACCTGTAAGAAAGCATATTGATTATCGAGTATGTCAGTCCTATAAGTCTTAAGGTAAAAGTATCTAAAAGATAATGGCAGCCTTCCTTTTTTATTGGCATATATTCACTGTTGGTAGTAATTGGCTTCATAGACATTTTCATAAATGCCTTCTCTTCAGTCTTAAAAATGATTGTTTTGCATTGGTGGCACATGCCTTTAATCCCAGCTCTTGGGAGGCAGAGGCAGGCAAGATCTCTGGGTTTCAGGCCAGCCCAGTCTACAACTCAAGTTCCAGGACAGCCAGTGATGTTATACAGAGAAACCCTGTCTAGAAAAAAATCAAAACAAAACCAAAGAATTGTGATTTCTTGTGCCTCTTTAGTTCACCTCTGGAGCTACTCAAAATAGATTGCTATAAGAGTTCAGAGAGTAACTGGAATATTTTGGTGTGCACATATATTTAGGATGTGTGCAAATTCTTAGGATATTCTATATGACACAGCTGTTAATGCTAGACCTATACAGCACTCAAACTGGTTTGTTTTGTAACAAACATTCAATACACAGTGAAGGTTAGTGGCCTGAACTATATATAGAGGCAGTCACAGCACAACAGAACTACTTTAAAACTTGTGAGAAGGGAACCACTGCCTTTGGTCTAAATGACTTAACATAAGAATATATTTGCTCTTTTTAAGTTCTGAGTTCCTTAGGTGGTCGTACAAATAAAGATTTTAAATTAGAAAACAGTCCTACCTGTCAGCAAGGCCCCCATTCACAGGTATAGCCAAAAGGATAGGGTATATACCACCCAGACCAAAAGCAACTAGTGCACCCCGGGTCATGGCACAGGTCTCACAGTTCAGATCACCTAGGAAATAAATTGTGTATATGATGGTCAAGATACTTATTTAAAGAGCAGAGGGTTCACATTTCAGTGACAAGAATGATCTTACATTCACTATGGGAACACAGCTTCAGATCAGGAAAATGATGACACACATGTACTGACTGCTTGGCTGGCAGACCCGATGTGAGTCAGCTGTTGCCTTTCCTAAGCACTGCATTACAGCCCACAGCTACTTAGTATTAATATTTTGGTATTATGTGAAACTGCATAGTGTGCACTAAGGCAAACTGAGGGGATAATGAAATAAAACATACCTGTACTCAAAGGATAACTTACAAAATTTACATAAGCCAGGCTTGCTGTCACAAAAGGCATCACAGCCATTGGTAAGCTGGAAGCTAGTCGAGCTTGTGTCACATGCAAGATGCGCCGAAAAAGATTGTTTGCTATCAGGCCACTGAAACCAGCATTAAGTCCAACATATGCTGACCCATGTTCAAGCAGATTCCTGAGGGTGAGGGAAAAATAAGTTTCCACAATTTGGTTAAGTTCTCCTATTCTGGTATGTTACAGAACTTAATAGCACTGTTGGAAGAATTAGACATATACAACCAAAATTAATACCTTCACATCTACATTTCTATTCTAAAAAGGCTTGAATACGGGCAATACATAAGAATACTGTGGTACTGGCTACATGCATTTTGTGATTTTAATAAAGAATCTTGCCCCAAATTATGTAATGGAATAGCTCCTGAGAGGGCTCTTTTGAACTCCCATGGTACCTAAAAAGCACAACACATTCTAAGGTAGTACTGTTATTAGTGACTTGCAACCATCGTGTCTTATGAATAACTTGTTTCTACACATAGAAACATATTCAACTTTATCTCATTAGTTTGAAATTAATGTATTTCCTTTTACTTTTCTCTCAAATATTAATATTATTCAGATTATAAAATTGGGGTAACTGACATTTAAGTGAAATACTATGCTAGGTAGTTTACAATAACTCATTGATGAACATTTAATAGATAATTTGAGATAAGTAGAGAAATGGATTTTAAGCCAAAATATATGCTCTATATGCTTAATTTTGGAAAAAAAATACCTAAAACCACCACTGAATCCTACAAATAGAATAAGCTCTTCAATTACAACTCAGTCTGGTTTCCACCAACTGCATTGTGATCTGTATATGGCTCACTGACGCATGTTTCTCATTTCTCAACCCACCAGGGTCACCCTAAAATTACCTCCACTATGTTCTGTAGTTTTTGTTTATTTTAAAAGCTTTCCTAGGAGTGAAGTGCCCTACATTGTATAAGATAGTGCTTCTTGACCTCTCACTTCACTCACTGAGAACTAGTTATATAAAGGTGACTTGTTGGTAAAGGCACAAAAAAAGCTGCACTCCATCTTGGAGATTCTCATAGTGGGCCCCATGGTAAGAGACTGAATTGGGGTTTTCAGAACTCTAGAAATGGGAAATGGTTCTGAAAATTAAGAGAACTATTGAACAACTACAGTCCCAATGTGAAAAGCCTGTTTTTTGTTTGTTTGTTTGTTTTTGTTTTGTTTTTTTAGTAGGGGCTGAAGAGACAGGAAACTTGTACACTTTCACAATTAAAAGTTACAAAATGGAATCATCCCTAATTTAACCTTGGAAACCAAAGCTTAGAAACAGTGGAACTGAAACCTGAAAAGAACACTTTATTGTCTCCTAACTATAGTAACTGTGGTTTTAAAATTAAACATTTCTATTGTTTCCAAGCTAAATCATAACCTTGTAATGCCAGCTTAATTCCCAGCGTTCTCTTTAATTTGGTGCGGAGACCACTGTCAGCCCACTTTCTTCCTTGTTCCTGTCATCTCCATTTCTACATCAGTTGTTCAGGTTTTCCTTACCTTGTTTAAATTTTCTGTTATTTATCTCCAGAAACAACCGAATGGGGTGTCTGTGTAGGGGTAGTGCCAAGGGTTACACAGTGGCTGAAATTTATCAAGTTCTTAACTGCTGCTCAGTGTATATAGGTCAGGTTCTCTCTCAAGATGGTGTCAGCAAAAAGTGGAATTGGTATGGTCTTCCCAGTTGAAAATGAAGCAATCTCCAAAGTCATACTTTACATCTTTGATTTCAGCTCCCACCATGCTGTCTGTACTACCAGGGTTACTTAACTATGTTGATCCTTTCACTATTACCTCTCACCTAATTTAAATCTATTAATCCAAACTGGCTGGAATAGACAATAAAGTTAGTTGGATCAAATTTTTCCTGCTTAAAACATTATGTCCACTTATGTTTCACTAATATTGTTTCCTCAAATATGACACACCGTAACTTTGTCACTTCTGTGACCCTGTTTCTGCTCTTCCTAGACTAGCTCCTTTCCAAGGTCTCATGGTTGGGTAAAATAAGTCTGAGTAAAGGCAGGTCTGACAACCTGAGTTCCATTAGGACCCACATGGAAGGGGAGACCAGACTCCAGAAAGTTGTCCTCTGACCTCAGCACTCGTGTACACACACAGCCTAGCCTTAGCTTGTCATAACTGTGACCCACTCAGATTCTTTGTGTGACAATGAGGCCTAAGAACATTTTTTTAGAAATGCACTGTTGTTGTGTGTAATACCTTTTTATTATCAGCATACTTTGTAAATTATCTTTCTCCTTTAAAGATCTTTAAATACTCATTGCTCTGTCATTTCATCTAGCCACATATTACATGGTATTCTTACTAAAGGTAAGCATACAGAGATATACTGAGAAGACAAGAAATAAAAAGGAGCTGCGTGGTGGTTTTAATCCCAGCACTTGAGAGGTAGAGATAGGCGGATCTCTAAGTTCAAGGCCAGCCTGGTCTACAGAGTGAGTGCCAGGACAGGCGCCAAAGGTACACAGAGAAACCCTGTCTCAAAAAGTCTAAATAAATAAATAAATGGAAATAAAAAAGGTGAACAACGTTGTTTTAAGATGTTATTTATAAATGGGATCATGCAGTTTTATATCACTGTAAAAGTTGGATAGAAAAGGGGGTTCACCAATAGGATACCTCCGAGTTCTACTTTCAATTTCTACAGTGAGTTGTGACACACAAAAAAAACGGTGTCTCTGAGCTTTACTTTTTCATCAAAGCAAAAATACAGTTTTGTTCCTTTGATATCCTGTGTTAATTATACATAAGCCAGCAAATTTAAGACAATCTGATAAAGACATTTTAATACTAAAGGATCTTACCTGTCTGACTCAGGAAGTTGTTTAACTTTTCTGGATATGATATTAACTATTAAATCTTCTTTGACAGCACTTTCTTTATGATTTTCCATCTTGAACCTAAAAAACATGAAAATCCTATTTTAAAAATTATCTAGAAAAAGCCATCTGAAATGTAAACTTTGGAAAGTTGTGAATTTCAAAATCTGAAAAACCAATGCATATGTAAGTGTACAAAAAAAAATCCCCATCCTCCAGTAAAGCACAATAGAAACCTGAACATGAAAAACAACACAAGAGTTTCTAAGAAGTAGACACTTCACAGTCCTTATTTCCTAAGCAATTTACAACAGGAATAAAACAAAAATTATGTTTAATTCAGACATGGTGACATGCCTGTAGTTACAGCACTTGGGAAGAGGACCCAGAAGGATCAGCTCAGGGATATCCTTGGCTACATGAAAACTTAGCACAGGAAAACCATAAAGAACTTGTATTCAATAGTCAAGTGGGGGAAAACAAAACAAAACAAAACAAAAAACCAGTAACCTTTGACAAAATTTTAACCATTAGGGGAAACTAAGATCACATAGATACATAGATACTCAGGTTAGTTAAAATCAGAAAAATTTCATTTGGAAGCATTCAGGAAGGCTGTGACATGCTGCCGATGGAAGTATAAAGTATTTTTTTTTCAAGTGAGTGTAACCACTTTGTAAAAACAATTAGGTGTCGAGCCAAAGAGTTGGGAATGACATTGCAAAAGATCAGGATTGGGTCCTCAGGCTTTACAGCTATCAAGAAAGGTTTGCTCACAACTGTAACTCCAGTTCTAGGGAAATGGATATACCCTCTTCTGACTTACGTGGGCACTGCAGGTGTGTGCACTAGGCCACATTAGGATACACATGACTAAAGATAAAATCAGGGGCTGGAGAGATGGCTGAGCAGTTAAGAGCACCAGCTGTTCTTCCAAGGGTGCCCAAGTTTTATTCCCAGCACCCATATAGTAAGTACCCCAGGCCCAGTGTGATCTGATGCCCTCTTCTGTCCTCTGCAGGCACAGATGTGACAGACACTTTAGACCGACTATGGCCCACATGCCAGTAGTTTGCTGATCTCTGTACCAGGCAGGGTGAATGTCAGAATGGCAAATGAATTTTTGTGTGCAGATCCAGCTAAAAAAACACTTCCGGTGGCAGTTATAAAAAAAACACGGTGGCACGTGTAATAGCAGTTGGGAAGCTTAGGCATCAGGGTCGTCAGTTCCTGGGTTATAAACTACTTCTCAAAAACAAAACAAACCAACCCAACACTAAATGCTACGCATATTCCCGAAAGTATCTGCATAAAAATGGAATATCGGATAATTAAATTTAGCCACTGTTACGCTGTAAATTAGCAGTAATTCTGAAATCAAATTTAATAAATCCTGCAGGGTCTTCCCTGTAGGTGGAAAAGTGAAGAGGGGCTCAGCACAGACTGCTTCCCCTCGGTGGCTGCTGCCCCGTGCATCTCCTAACACTGGCATGGTTACTCACACTCCGCGGGATGAACGTCGCCGTCTGCCCTCCTCCGAGCCGCCGGTGCTTGTCCAAGTTCTCCGGCGCCCGGGTTTACCACAACCTTCTCTCAGGTCGCCAGGACTCCATCTTTGGCTGACACGTGACCTTGCCGATGCTACTGCTTCCTGTGGAGGGGTTTCCGGTCCGGGAGCTGCTAAACTGTTGATTAGCAGAGAAGGCAGGCGACTGCAGAGGGCATACGTTCACTTGCCCTCGGCCAGGTACAGCCTGCAGAACCCGCCATCCATTCTCCCCACCTGGGCTCTCAGCCTGCTTCCGGGTCTCCCGAGTTCGGCGGCTCGGGCCGAGTGGAAGCGGCTCGGCTCCCAGCGGGTGTAGGCTGCTCTGGCAGTGAAGTTAACCGGAGGCTGAGATGCCTTTGCCCTGTCTGTTTTCTCTTGGATCTCCCGCTCTGTGGGCCATGTGCTGTGGGTGACTTCCAGCGGACCGAGAGCTGTTCCACAGGGAGCGCTCACTGCCTCAAGCATTCCCGGTGTTCCCCAGAACACTGCTTCTGTAAAACAGGGTTCATTGAATGCAGTGAAAAAGTAACTGTTCAGAAGCAAGAGAGACGGGTGGGATAGCCCACGCGTTAATTTCAGCATTCGGGAGTCGGAGACGGGGATCTTTGTGAGTTCCAGGTCAGCCTGGTCTACATAGTGAGTTCCAACAAAGCAGCCAGGGAACTTGGGGTCTCTATAAAGTTCTCACAACTGGAAACCATTGTCACAAACCAGACCTCTTAAGGCTTTTGTCTTAGTTCTCGCTTGTTCCTTTCTACATCTATAAAACGGAGAGAGGCAACATTCTTTAGGTGTTATTTTTTTAAAGTTGTGACTAGTCAATAAAAAATGCCTACCGAATTGCTTGGGAGTCCTGGAATTTTATCATATCAGAATGAATAGATTTCTTGGGAAACCTGAGAGGCATCAAGTCAGTTCTAGTAAAAGCACAAGTTACTCAGAGTATTGTGGACCCACACTTTAGTCCTCCGCAAGAGCAGCAATTGCTTTTAACTCCCAAACCGTTTTTTCCAGCACTTCTTACATCTTCAGTGCTCGGTGCTGATATTAGGGTAGTGTTGATTCAGCAACCTTTCACCTCTCACTTTTTGGGGAGAGAGTTTGCATTATTGTGATATTATTTGAATGTTTGGTAGAATAACGGCAGAAGACTTTTGAGCCTGGAGTTTTCCTGGCTGGAAGGATTGTTAAGTATAAATCTAGCATCTATAATAGATATTTCAGCCTTCTACTTATAGATATCTTTTAGATTGAACTTTGTAAGTTATCATAGGAAAAAATGAAATGTCCATTTGGTCTAAAATTTCAAATTTGTAGGATTAAATTGTTCTTAAGTATTTCCTTATGCTTTTAATATCTGTGGACCCTGCCGTGACCTCATGAGTCTTCTCTTTTCAAATATTTGATGCCTCATTAATCTGGCTAATGGAGTACAGTTATTTTGATCTTGAATAGTTTTTTGTTTCATTTTTTAAAATGTTTTTTTATGTTTTAAAGTTGAAAATTTTCTTCTCTGCTATTTATTATTCCTTTCTTATTTTTACCCAAGACTTACATTTTCTCCCTTTTTTTTCTAGTTTCTTAAGGATGTGCATGGATGAGGTCATTGGTTTGAGATCACTTTACCCGTTGGGATGTGTGTTTAATGTCAGAAACTCCCCTCTAAGTACCTTTTTTCTCACACAGACTTCATAATTTAAAATTAAAATTACTTTTATTAAGTTAAAAAGTCTTGTAATTTCTCTTAAGTTTCTTGACCTGTGAGGTTATCTAGAAGTGTCTAGGTTTTCTAATCTGTTTTTGAATTTCTGATTCAGCTCTGTTGTGATTGGAGAACATACTTGGTAGGGTTTGAATCCACTTAAATTGCATTGATATCTATGATGCAGATTCTGGTGCAACTGGATTTTTCATGTTTACATACATACATACATACATACATACATACATACACATGCTGTGTCAACAATTCCAGAAAGCAACAATGAAGACAAATTGGGTGAATGTGCTGCTTTGCTTGGAGAGGCAGGGTTTGTGTTGCCCGTGTGGCCTTAGACTCCCAGGAAGACAGATGATTCTCCTGTCTCAACTTCCTGAGAAGCAGGGAATACAGGTACATGCCACTATACCCAGCACGCAGTACTGTTTGAATGTTCTTCATTCTTTCTATTTTATACCAGCTTTCTCATTAAGTATCAAGTTGCTGACATTTCCAACTTTTATAGGAAATTTCCCTCTTCTTTTCAGTTCTTCATACATTTTAAGCCCTATTATTATATAAATAAGGGATGAATGATCTTTGTATCATTGTGAAACAGCCTTCTTATCCCTTGGTAATACTGTCTGTTTTAAAACATGCTTTAATATTAACACATCTACTTCCAGAACTTGATTAGTTTCAATATAAGTCCTTCCCTTGTGTATGCACACACACGTGTTTCCTGTTCTACAGGCAGTGAGTGGGACCTGGGAGAATGGAGCTGATAAATAGGGCAGACTAAAGTCTAATGAAATAGCCAACTTATTCAGAGTTGAGACCATTATACTTCAAGGGATAGGAGGAGTCACATAAGGAAAGTAGACTATCACAAGGGCAAGCCACGTGTGGTGGACATGGGTTTCCATAGATGCTTATAAATAATAACAATAGCCAGTTGTAATGATTAATCTGAAGTGGACTTGCTTCTACACCTGGGAGAGGTATGAATGAATAATCCATGAATTTTTTTTTTTATAAAGAAATGGAGGATGGTTTCTTAGACCTTTCTCACAAGCACTTAGAAATCTCCTCACATACCCATTCATACATGGGAATGTATGCACTTATGTGCATGTAGATATCAGAAATATCTATATCTATGTTGGTGCCTTCCTCTATCACTCTCTGGTTATTGTTTGAGATAGGGTCTCTGTGGAACCTGGAACTCATCCACCCAACAGAAATAGCTGCCAGCAGCCCCAGGACCATCCTGTTTCTCAGGCTGAGATCACAGGTGTGCCCACCACATCTAGTGATTCACATGGGTGATAGGGATTCAAATCCAGGTCCTCAGGAAACACAAGCTATCGTTTTTTTCCCTTTCAACAGTCATTTGTTGTTAGAGAATATTATTTTAAGATGTGGTACATTTGCTTATGCTGTGGTACATTTGTTTAATGTCGCAAAAATGTGTTGCATTCTTTTATGTTACATTTGCTTAACTCTGTGAGGCTGTGTTACTTCACCTGTCCAAACATCTGATTGGTCTAAAAGAGCTGAATGGCCAATAGCAAGGCAGGAGAAAGGATAGGTGGGGCTGGTAGGCAGAGAAGATAAATAGGAGGAGAGATCTGGGAGGATAGAGGAGCAAGAGAAGGAGAGGAGGATATTAGGGGCCAGCCACACAGCCAGCCACAGAGTAAGAAGAAAGGTATATAGAACTAAAGGTCAAAGCCCAGAGGCAAAAGGTAGACAGTATAATTTAAGAAAAGCCGTCAAGAAACAAACCAAGCTAAGGCCTGCCTGGCATTTTTAAGAAAGAAAAAGTCTCCTTGTGTGATTTATTTGGGAGCTGGGTTGTGGGCCCCCAAAGAGAAAAAACAACATTTTTTTTTTAATCTTAATTTTTTTTTTTTTATTTGAGACAGGTTTCTCTGTGCTGTTCCTGACTGTCTGGAACTCACACTGTAGACCAGGCTTATTTACAGTTTCAGAGGGTTAGTCCATCATCATCATGGTGGCAGGCTGCAGGCAGGGATATAGTACCTGAAAGCTCACACCTGATTATCTGGTCCACAAGTTGCAGGGGGTGGGGAGTGTGATTTGGTCTAGCATGGCTTTTGAAATCAGAAAACCCATCCCCAGTAATATACCTTCTCTAATTAGGCCACACTTCCTAATCTTTCCTCAAAAAACCCACCAAGCATTCAAATATATGAGCCTATGAGGACCCACTTTCATTCACCCCCTGAGTCATCTGGCTGGCTCCCTGTACTTTAATCTTTATAATACTAACAAGGTAGTAATTTATACATTTTAAGATTATACATTTTAAGCCAAAAGCTTCTCCATCATGTACTTCAACTTTCTAGAGGTCAAACTCTCCTACAAGTTACCTTAGTCATGGTGCTTCATTATTATATTGCTATGTATTATATATATATATATATGTGTGTGTGTGTATATATATATATATATATATATAATTAATATAAAAGTAATTAATGCACCATCTAAGGTGATAGTGTTAGGAAGTAAGGCCTTTGGGATATCTTTAGGACTTTGCCCTAAGGAATAAGATTTGTCCCCTTATACGAGGTTGCAGAGACCTCTTTTGCTCTATCTCGATGACATAGAACCAGAAAAAGGAGCTATTTTTGATCTAGAAGGCTGCTCTTGCCTAGACACCTGTCTCAGTTAGAGTTACTATTGCTGTGATGAAACAGTATAACCAAAGCAACTTGGGGAAGTTAGAGATAGTCATGCTAAGTGAATTGTCAGAAAAACACATAAAATCTCTCTCTCGTGTCTGTTGTGTGGTGTGTGTGTGTTATGTGTTTGTTTGTATTCACTGACACCAGAAGAGGGCATCAGGTCTCCATTACTCTGTCTTACTCCTTTTCAAGCAGGACCTCTCACTGAATTGGACCTTGTGTCTTTGGCAATGCTGCTAGACATAGTCCCAAAGTTTTTTTTTTTTTTTTTGGTCTCTGCCCCACTCAGCACTGGGGCTGTTGGGTTACAAACTCTAGTCCTTACAGTAACAATTGCTCTTAACCTTTGAGTAGTCACTCTAGCCTTAGAAAAGACAATCTGAAGTAGATAAGTACAGTGACTCAGCTTTCAAATAGCAGGAGAAAGGTTGCCAGTTTCTAATATAATCATATACAAGAATGAACTGTGGGATTTCTATTTTCAGAATAAAGATGAATACACAAGTGAACACCTGAGCAGATTCCAAAAGAGAAGGTGCTGTGAATTCTTTTCTTTAGATTCTGTTCCTTAGGAGAGTGGCTAAAGCATTAAACTTATGGTTTTTAATATATGACACACAGATGTGATAAGTATTTAAACAGTAAATGAAGGCAATTTGTAAATAAGAGTGTGTTTAGTATACTGGTTCAGGGTAGAGAGCAGAGGGATGTTTTTCTGTAGGAGGCATGGATGTCCTTATGTTCAAAGTTAACAGTAGGGAAATAGGAATGTCAAACATACAGGATTGTCTCCTCAAAGGATATATGATGGGAGATGTCATTCTGTATATGTTTCTCATACTGGTTAATAATAAAGCACTGTTGGCCAATAGGAGAGCAACATAGGCGGCACTAGGAGACAAGAAGGAAATAGGAAGTAGTAAGAAGGAGTCAACATGGAGAGTCTGGAGAAAGCAGTATGCCGGCCGGCTCCCCGGTAAGAGAAATACATAGATCAGTAGATATGGGTTAATACTTAAGACAGAGCTAGCCGATAAGAAAGAAGTAACCGGGCCAATAGCATTGTATCAAATACAGAGTCTCTGTACATTATTTGGGCGGTGGGACAAAACAAGCAGGCGGAAAAACAGTACTCATTACAGATATATAACCAGTTTCCACCCAGAAGGCTGCGAGTGGACATGGTTAATAGCCTGGTAACCTTTATACTAACTGTGTGGTCAAGACCACATTGGATCCTCCCCCAGACCTTTATCTTGAGCTTGTTTTTCTCAGTCTATTAGAACCTATGTTTATGGAAGACGTCACTTGTACTTTACAAAGAGTTTGGATGTAGTCATGTCTTAAGCTTTGTTGTGCATATGGGATTGAGTTAATTATTACTAGGACACTTTCTACCAAGTTATGCTGTTCTTAAGTATGCTGAAACTGTACAAAGTCAGACTCTCGTAGTTTGAACCAACACCTGCTACTGAGTCTTGTTGAACCCAACTGCCTTCTTGCCTACCTTGGATCCTCTGCTGGACTGGTGGTTGCAGAGATCCCTATAACTGCTGCTCAAAGTTTGGGGCTTGACCCTTGGAGAAGGTAAGAAGGTAAGGATATGAGGTGGGTCTACTCATTCAAGGGGTCCCCGCTGTGAGACAGTGAAATAATTAATCATGTGTTCTTCTCAGTCTTCTGATGCAAATCATTTTATATGATTGAGATGCCTGTGAAGATCTAGAGGAGCAAAATGTTCAGAGCAATAACTCTGCAACTTTGTACCAATGACTGTCAAGTTCAATCCTTGGTTTCCTAAACAAGGAACCATTGATGTTGATAATTGGAAGTGCATAGGAGCTAATGCAAAAGGAGCCCAGAAAAGGGTTATTTTGTCAGTTATTTTGTAGTCTGGACTGAAATAATGTATTGCTTGGACCACCTCAAGAAGACTGTTAAAAAAAATGTCAGCTGGATACTGTAGTCAGACTTTTCTTTTTGCTGCTCGGTGGGTGGGTGTGGGTGTGGGGTATGTGTGTCTGATGGCATTGTCTGAGTTAGGTGGCTCCACAGAGGCATGACCCATTGGAACTTGGCTGTCTCTGGGCTCTGGTTTTTGTTTTCTCTCAGGAAGGACCTAATATTGTAGTAGCATCTTATTCTACCAATAGACTTGAGTAATGAATGGCCTTAGGGTGTGGTTTCGGTGTGTGGACATGACCCCTTAAAACGAAGAGGAGGGGCTTGCTTGGGCTTTTCCTGGGGTGTGGTCTTAACATTCTGCATTGCAGACCCTGCACTTCCAGGGGTAGAGGACCATTGCAATCATTTACCATCATTGTGTGAGTGTTCCCCAAAAAAATAACTGTTATTCTTTATTTGTGCATCTGTGGACTTCCTTTAACCCATCTTCATAATATAGATTGATCAGTGGCCCCTTCATGGAGAAAAATTAAAACAGGTTATACATTCCTCCCTTTGAAGACACAATCCTGTGTGTTTAACACTCCTGGTTCCCCTTGTGCTTCTCTGTGAGCACAAGGACTCCCCTGCCTCCTATATTTCCCCTCCAATGAACTAACAATCCCTCCTTCACATTTAACTCATGTTACTTTCCCCCTATAACATCATCAGTCTAAATAGTTAAGTTACAGTCTCAGTTCCCTCACATTATGTGTGTATCTCTCAAACCATCTCATACTATGTGTTCATATTCCTTACTCCTCCTTTGAGAAGTCTTTGGGATCATTTCTTATGGCATGCACAGTCCCTGATGCATACCATGCACTATTTTGGCATTCGGCATAGGTAAGACCCTAGACTCCAAACCCATTTCTTTTTTTTTTTAAAGGTTTATTTATTGTTTGTTTATTATATATACAGGGTTCTGCCTGTATGTGCCAGAATCTCATTACAGATGGTTGTGAGCCACCATGTGGTTGCTGGGAATTGAATTCAGGACCTCTGGAGCAGTACCAGTGTTCTTAACCTCTGAGTCATCTCTCCAATCCCATCAAACCCATTTCTATACATAGCAAAGAAAGAAGGATGAAATGTGCACTTGTTTTATATTTATATTTACTGAGTACCTGACTTATACTAGGCAAAAGGAACAGAGTTACTTCTCACTCTTTGCCCAGTGCCTGAGTCCTTACAAAAAAGTCCATTCTGCCCAGTTGGCCTCCACTGAGTCTTCGGTTAATTTTCAGGCACAGTTTTTGCAAGCAGCTTTTTACATAAAGCATAGTGGTAAGAGCCATGAATTATTCCAAACGCTGCCTGAAATACTAGAGGAATAGCCATTGCTTTCATCCCAGTTTGACAAAGGATTAACCAATGGAGTATAACTCTTCCTTTTGGTGGCATTGGAACAGAATGATACCTGAAAAAGGAAAAAGAGTCAACCATGTCTCCTGGACCGATACACCATGGAAAGCAGTGGCTTTCTCCATTTCTAGAATAAGTCTATCACACAGATAACTAAGTTACATGTTAGCAGGTTATTTTGTTTTGTTTTGTTCATTTAAGAAAAAGAATGGTTTATTAGCATCCCTCACCCCTGTTCCCCCAAAACAGAAGGAAGGAAAGACGGAATGAATAAACAAAAGAGAAGGGCTAAATAACTCAATCAATAAAATGCTTGCCATGCAACAATGAGAACCAAAGTTTGATCCCCAGAATCCAGGTTAATGGGGAAAAAAAAATTGCCGAACATGGTGATGTGTGCTTATAACCCAATACCGTGGAGGCAGACAGAAGGGTCCCTGGGATTCATTGTCTAGTCAGCCTAATGGCAAGCTCTAGCTCAGTGGTTCTCAACTTTCCTAATGCTGTAATCCTTTAATACAGTTCTTCATGCTGTGTTAACTCCAAACATAAATTATTTTTATTGCTACTTCATAATTATAATTTTGCTACTGTTATGAATAGTAATGTAAATATCTGTGTTTTGCTATGATTTTAGGCAACAACTGTGAAAGGGTTCTTTGACCCCCCCCAAAAGGGTTGGGATCCACAAGTTGAGAACCACTGCTGTAGAGCAATGAGAGACCCTGACTCAAAAATGTAAGGTGAATAGGCATAGTGGCATGTGTTCAATCCCAGCACCTGGCAAGCAGATTTCTGAGTTCATGGCCTGCCTGATATACATATAAGAGTTCCAGGCTATTCATGGTTGCACAGTGAGATCCTGTCTTAAAAACATAAAAAAAGGTGGATAGCTTTTGAGAAATAGCACCTGGAGTTGACTTCTGGTTAAATGTGCAACACCCCCCTCCCCCCCCCCACACGGTTGGGTGGGGGCACAAGGCACAAGAGTGAAGTAAAAAGAGAAGGAATGGACAGACTTACTTAACCGCCAAATGACCATTTTTATGAAAAGCCAGAGCACTGGGATATAAAACACCACATGATACTCCAACCAGTATACTTCTCAGAACACAGTTTTCTTTGCTTATGTTACCTAGAAAGTGAAAAAAGTTTTATTCCTTTTAAGATTTAAGATAACAATTAATACAATGAAGTCACTGTCTCTCATAGCACAGTTATTTTGCTGTTTGCAACCACAGTTAAAACAGTAGAAAGGACTTTAGCAATTCAAAGTCTGGCACTTAACAGGCTTAAATGGATCTTGTTCTAAAACTGTACTTACTGTATTTTAAAATATGAACAATTATCATTTGTTTTTTTTTTAAACAGAAGCAACGTCACAGTAAGAATACTATCACATCTAATACCTGGATTCTAGGTGAATACATATACGTATTGTTTACTATGTGTCAGGTACATGCTAGGAATATTTTGGTCAAGCGTGGTTTCACATGCCTTTAATGCCAACATTTGGGAGGTAGGTGGACAGAGTTTGAGGCCAGCCTAGTGCCAGCCTGATCTACAGAGTGAGTTTGAAAACAGCCACGGCTACAGAGAAAAACCCTATCCTGAAAAACAGACAGAGGGAGAGAGAGAAAGGGGTGAAGTGGAGGGATAATGGGGGGGGGGGAGAGGAGAGAGAGAAAGAGAGAGAGGACACTTTAGTCAAAATTATATTAGGGAAGAAAGTTATTAGACAAACAATAAAGAAAAATGACAAGAGGGGCTGGAGAGATAGATCAGCACTTGGGTGTACTTGCTGTTGTCATAGAGGACCCAGGTTCAGTTCCCAGAACCCACATGGTGGTTCACCACTACTCCTAACTCTAGTTCTATGGAAGAGTATCATTTGCTTTGCTTGATCAAGTCTGTTGCAAAGATCATACCAAGGAAAACATGTAAGTGATAAAACAATATACAAATATCTGAGACTGTTATAAATATTTGTTAATGGGTAAGTTTGTTATAGTCATACTATGTATCAAAGAGTTTAAATTTACCTGAAAGCAAAGCATCAGTTACAAAGAGCTTATAAGCAACAACAGTAGACAAAAATGGAAGGGCAGTCAAGGATACACAGGTCTTCAAAGCTTCATGCCGAACCTTGAAACTGCTTCTGAAAATGATGTTTGCCAGTAGTCCAGACATAGCACTAGTAGTTCCAAAGAATAAAGTTCCATATATATTTATGGTCCTGATAGGATCAAAGAAAAAAACTAAGATTAACATAACATTCTTGAAATGTATCTATTCTTCCTTCAATAAAAACTATAACAAATCTACCCAGCATCAAATATTTCTTGTTACTGAACTATAAAAAATTATTTAAGATCATCTAGAAAAAAAAAAGCTATTTTTACATGGTTAGACTGTCTAGAAAAGAACTATTTGTGAATTGGTCCAGATACATTCAAAATAATTTCTCTATGGTTTATGAGACTTCATTGGACAAAATTTGAAAGACTTGATTCTGGCTCACACTGGAATCCAAAGCTGTAAAGTTTAACTGCCATTATTCTTAAGTTACATGTGTCAGGGAGAATGTGCCTGTGTGCAAACATGAATGTCACAGAGAGGGTACATGAATGTGAGGCTGACACTGGGAACTGTACATGACTGCTCTGTATTAATCAAGGCATGGACTCTCAAACTCAGAGCTCACATTAGTTTTGCCCTTCCAGCTTGCTCTGGGGATTGCCTGTCTGCCTTCTAAAGCTGAAACTGCTGCATACCTGATTTTTATGGGTTTCTGGGGATCCAAAATGAAGTTCTCAAACAAAGAGCTCTGATCACCCAGTCATCCCCCACTCAGCCTAGCTAAAAAGAGTGTTGAGTCATAATTTCTCATCAGTAAACGATAAGTATCCTTCAAACTGCTTTCATACCAATTGCTTCTAATTTTAAAAAAATATCTGTACTAATCATATTTTAGCAGTAAGACTGGGCATTTTTTTTTTTTTTTTTTTTTAAAGAAGTACAAGAAGGGGCTTGGTTCCCAGAACCCACATCCAAAGGCTTACACCAGCCTCTAACTCTAGTTCTAGGGGATCCAAAGCCATTTTCTAGCTCCTCCAATGTATGCTCATTACGCAAACACACATATAAATAAAAAAAATATATAAAAAGAAGCAAAAGAAATCCACTCTAACAAACCACTATTTCAATCCATTGCTAATTCTGTCTAGTTCTTTTTTAAAAAATAAAAGTATTCTTTATAAGCAACTCAGTAAGAAGTTATATTTTTTTTTTATTTTTCTCCATGAATTATTTATTAGCTGTGTTTTCAGAACTTTTGTTAAGGCATCTTTTGGAACTTCAGTGTTGCCAGTTTTCTTAAAACCCTTCTCCATAAATGTGAATATCTAGGAGATTCTCCTAGGATGACTGTTTAAGAGAGCAATTCAGGTTACCATTGGAAGCAAAATAATTTCAAGAGAAACTGTGAAAGCCTATTGGAAAAACATTTTGGCAAAATAGTTTAGTGGTGACACTACCCAGAAACGAAACTTTTGAAGAGACAAACAGAAGGAGCAAAATGCAAGCAGTTTCTTATAAACAATCTTTAGAGACTATAGAAAGGATATGAAAGTAAAGCTGGTGACTCAGCTATCAAAGTGTCTCTTACTTTTTTCTATAATATTCAAGCTGTTTTTCAATGATTTCGGTGATCATTGATCTGAATTTTACATCCCCTAGAGAAGGAATCAGCCGACCATGTGGATAAATTGCCATCTTCATGTCCTGGAAAACATGGAATTCCAGAGTCATAACAGCTAACCATACTAACATTAAATAAAACTATAAAACCATACTCAGACTAAAAATATTTATCTACCAACGTTTTAGGTACTGTGGTATCTGCTTTCACAATATTTTAAGGACACGACTCAATATTTACTGTGCTTTTATTATCAAGACAATGTTTTTGTTTTTTGAGTTATAAAAAAATTGGGAAAATTATTATTTCTGTGTTTATATATGTGGTTGGTGGTTTGAGTAAGGATGGTCCCATAGACTCACATATTTGAATCAGTGACTCATCAGTGAGTGGCAGAGTGAGGATTTATAAAAAATAGGAGGTGTGACCTTGTGTGTCACTGGGGGGGGGGGTGGATTTTGAGGTTTCAAAAGCCCATGCCAGACCCAGGCGTGCTTGTCTGTGTGCCACCCCACCACCATCAGGTTGTAAGCTGCAGGGCTACTAAAATGATATTGAACTAACCCTTTGAATCTGTAAGCAAGCCCTCCTCAATTAAAAGCTTTGTTTTATAAGAGTTGCTGTGGTCATGGTGTTTCCTCTTAGCACTAGAACAATGACTAAGACCACAGATTAGAAATTAAGTTTCAGAAAGCAGAGATGATTTATTTTCTTTTAGTATAGCTATCTCTGTTCATTCCAAAAGGCCCTATTTGTTTACTCTCTTCAGGTAAGGGCAGAAACCTGCTTGTGGACAATGATCTCCTATTTTCTCTAAAGAAAGCCTGAGCCCATTTGGTAGATTATTTTGTGGTAGAGGTATGTAGGAGATAGCCAGGAGGGCTTTGGCGAATAGAGAAGAAAATCGGAGAGAGGTACTGTTCCAGCCTGAGAAGAGGCAGTGATTGCATCAAGGTCATCTTGGACTGTTATGTTGTACATTCAATTTCCTAGAAAGGCCTGGGGATAGAAGCAAGGCCTTTGTCAGAAATAGCTATGTGGCATACCATGAAGCTTGGATTCATGGCAGTGGACTCGGGATTGTAAGGTTCCTGTGTCCCATGAGATAAGCAAATAACTATCAACATTAGATAACACAAGGGCTTGCTCAATTAATTGGTGAAAAACTAAAAAATTAAATTTCAAAAGGATCTTTCATGAATGTCTGGCTATGAGTCAGACTTTTAGGTCTCTGTAGAGACATTTGTTAAATCCTTTGGTACTCTAAATTCTGCAGCTTAAGGGTTTTTAATTTCATCCTTACAAGAAAATATGGACACTTCTTGCAAATCCAAATTTTTGGTTGCAAATGTTTATTTCATCAGTGAGAGGTCTACTGATTCCAAGTTCTCCACATTTAGTGCTTTTTAGTTTTTGTACTACATTTTCTGGATTAGTCAATGAATAAGTATGAAGTCAAAGACTCATTACAGATTACATTGCTAATATTTATAAGAGCATATACTAAACCTCAAATTAAAAAAACCAAAACAAACAAACAAAAGCAACAACAACAAAACCCTAATGGATCCAGACTCCAGGAAATGAACACACACTTCTTAAGGTGGTATACAATAGATTAAAAGACCAGTTTCTCTTCCTCAATACAAAAAGCTATTCAAGCCAGTTCTTTTTCTTTAAAACATCTGAGGAAGATGGGAGGCATAAAATGCTTCACAAGTTTTAACTATTTAAAGGGACTATCCTAGTCCCTTTAAATCTTTTGCTCTCTCTACGCCCTGCTATCCAAATGGAAAATGGAAGGGGAAATAATACTTTCTAAGGGGATTCTCTACCCACTAGATGGCTAGTGTATTATGAAAACACATATCTGTAACATCACAGGTAATCAAAAATTTTACAGAATTTTTATTTCTGTTCTCATCCAATTAACTGAACAGTCTTCCACACCACTGACAGAAAATTTCCAGGCGCTTGTAACAGCTCTGGGGATAGGGGTACCCAGGATTATGGTTGCAGGACAGTAGATACTGAAATAATGAAAAGCGACAACAAATATTTTTAGCATCTGGTGTTTGTAAGACTTTCACTACGCTCTCCTTGATTAAAGCAAATTCCAAGAAGTTTTTACTTATTTTTGTGGTGTTGGGATAGAAGCTGGGACTTCTATTCAAGCTGAGGCATGGTAAGTGCTCCATCCTCATTTTCAAAAGAAGGCTTTCAACAAGTGTTGAAATGAAGATTATTGCCACAACCAATTTATAATCTAAAAGACAATTTATAATCTAAAAGAAAGTTCAAAGTCACCCAACCGATCAGATCTCTATCCCTATAGTAAGTGCATCTGTGTAGGTGTATGGTTTGCAGTGTGTTACAGTGTGTTGTATTTTTAAGTATATTTTTGACTTGACCTTCAGAATTTCATCCAACATTCTTACATGATTTATCCAGCACTGATGTATAATAGGTTCCCTGGTAATCAAAAGAGTGAATGTCTTCAAGAATCCATCACAACCTGGCGCTATGTCAGGACATCCAGAATCAATAAATAGAGTTTGGGCAGGGTGGGTCTAGGTGAGAAAGTATTCCTAATTAAAGGAAAGGCTTGTAAAAAAAAAAAAGGTCCTCGAGGAAGAAAAACAAGATATATTTATTCTGCAGTAGATTTCAGATCTATGTTGTTAGGAACTACGTCTTGTATAAAGTCGGGGCTAGTTCTCTCTATTTGCTCAAACCCTTCACGTGCACCATCTCCAAGGAGGTAACCCACACTACTCCAGGTTTCCGCCTACCTGGGGCGCTTCTCTAGCTTCCATTCGCACCACACCAGCAACCCCGAATTCAGACCAAGTGTGTGGCTTCGACGCCGCCATCTTGGCGCCTCACGTGACCGACTGTGGGGCGTGACCGGAGCGCCCGGGGCGGGGCTTGCAGCTCGCTCCTCTTGCCGGGCCCGCCTCCACCCAGTCAAAAGCCGCGCCCTCCAGACGGGCGGAGATTGGGCGTGGCATCCGGAAACTGCGAGTGCTCATTGGCTCCGAGGAAGGCGCAGGCGCCGGAGGGCCCGCCTCTAGCCAGCCTTGCTTGTCCTTTGCCTGCAATTTGTCAGCCTGGCCGCCTCTTGGCCAACCTGGAGGGGACCTGAGGCGATTCGGGCTCAGGCCTGTTGCTGCGCGCCCCCTTCTCAGGGCGGCTAGACTAGTCGAGCCCTGGCAGCTCGCGCCTTCGGCCTGGTCGGTGTGTTAAGACTGTGACTTCTCGGGTTCCTTCTCAGAGCCTCCAATCCGCCTCCCCCGGCGGGGCCAGAGCAGCACGGACTAGCCTGCTCTTCCCAGTCTTCAGTCCCCTCATAGTCCACCCTAAAGCCCCGCTTGGAAAGGGTCCAGTTAGAACTCACCTCTGCCCTGCTCCCCAGAAGAGCCCCAGTCGGCTAGTGTTTCAGGGGTGGAGGGTGCTGCGAGGAGGCCAGGCGCGCTTCCGTGCACGCGAAATGCCCAGCAGCATCTCCCAGACCCGCAACCCCCGACCCTCCAGTCTCCATGTCTTAGACAAGCCAAATTCGAGAGTTATATAATTTCTAGTGCTGCTGTTTCTCTTGCCCGAGGAAACACTTCATCGCGTGGAAGGTGCAGGACATTTCGGTGCTCTTCAGTATAAGACCAGGGTGTGGGCAGGGGTGGCCAGCGGTTACACAGAAATGTCTTTTCTGCAAAAGGAAGGTGGGTAGATTGGAGAGAGACTGAGAAAGGGTGGATGTGGAAGCCAAACAGCTGCACACCCATTTAGGATATCGCGGACTATTTGCATAGTGTGTGGTTGCATGCCTAATACTACTACAGCGTCTCTGAAAACACCTTTGGGGGTAAGGTTTGGTTTCTCCTCTCCAGCAGCCTCAGTGTTTTTCCTCGCCGGATAGGGAGCTGCTTGGATGCAAAGAGATGACATGATGTGAATGACTCCAGTGTGAAGAAGTCTGCTTCGCCAAATCATCCTGCATCAAGTGCCCATTGAATAGCACTGTCACTTTAATGTCTCCATGCCAAGGGATTGCTTTCCTTCTTTTCAATCCTCTTGGTTAATACATAGGAGGCTCAGAATCAAAGGGGCATTAAGAATCAAGCTTTGGGGGCTTGGAGAACTCAGAAGAAAAACATGAAAGTGACAAGCTGGAATCTGTTTTACTGAGGGGGTGAAATTCGGAACCATTAAATAGAAGGGGGCCTTTGCATCTCTGTTCTGCCCCAGAAAACTGTTCAAACTCGCACACTGTTTAAAAAAGCCAAACGTTTTTAAAAGTATTTTTGAAGGGGGGAGTTTAAACATTTTTCTAAGACCTGATGCTCTTTATGACCAACCATTTCGATCATATATAAAGTAACGAGACGACCCTAAATTTGGTTTGTGCCTTAATGGAGTTAGGAATTGAACACCCAAAAGTATTGCTGCCGGAAGAGAAGAGTTTTTAATAACATTTTCTATGCATACGATAACTTTCTCAGCTTTTAAAACAAGAACATATATTTTATAAAAATTGAAAAACATTTTTTTCTCTGAACACTGTTGGCAGTGTAAAATGTTTGGTTGTGGGAAAACGCATCATTATTTTCTTTAATTGAAATGGAAGATTCAGCCTGGAAATAACAGCTGAAGCGTGAAGTGGTTTGCAACAGTTAACCTGGCTCCATCTCAATTCAGCTGGATCAAGCAGACACTTGCAAAGAGATCTTGAGTCCAGTGTCAGTGGAGAGACCCAAGAATGCCAGTCAAGAAGAAAGGTGGGCTATGAGGTTCATATATAACATTTAATTTTCCTTTTTCTTGGCTATGGTGTTTGTAATTTAAATTGTATTCCTTTGGAGAGCAAAACTTATTTTGAGTAAATACTCATTGCAATACTTTTTCAGTAATATTTTTCTATAGTAAAATTAAGATGATATTATGGACATGTGAATTAATAAATCAGGCAATTGGTATCACCATTTATAATTAGAATAGATTCAGTGCTGTAGATTTGGGGTTGTCCTTAGCTTGTTAGAACTCAGGTTAAATAATGTTTAAAAAAAGAGACTGTCACAATGGAGCTCTTCCCCATTAGCCTCCTAAATGATTATGTAGTTGTAACACATAGCAAAGTGATTATGTTTACCCTGAGCAGAATTATAGCTTTATTATTTATAGTTAAACTTAGACTTCATATTTCACCATAAACCTTTACTATTGTGGTAATTCACAACTATAATAATTTATTCTGCATTATTCAATAACATGTTTGGTAAGTTCCCTCAAATAACTTGCTTTGTACTTGCTTTTTTTTTTTCTTTCTTTCAATAACTTATTACATTGATCAAAATCCAGTGGTGTTTCTGGAGCATCATTTATTATAGATCAGAGACTCTAAAGGACTCAATTTAGCCTAGATCTACCTGAGATGAACTTTATTCCACTGAAATCAGGCCTTTTCTGTTTCTTAGAGATGACATAAGTAATAAAGTTTATGGAGAGTTTTGAATCAAAATTAAGAAGACCCTCAAAATTTACTGTTCTGGACTAGTGTGGATCCAAATGTTGTCCAGTTGTGTTAATTGCTACAATACTGAACCTGAGACCACCTAAGACATATTTTCATTTAAAATATAGAGAATGTATATGATTTTTTATGTTGTTTAATCCATCTGCCTGTGGGTTTGGAAGATGTACTGAGAAAAATTCCAGTCAATGAGATACTTTTGTCTAAAATAGTCTACATAAAGGGGAACAGCACTATCTAAAACTAGTGAAACATCTAGAATTGTGCTTTTGCACTCTGGGTTGGAAAAGTAGGATTGTTTCTTCCTCTGTCATTCCCCATAAGACTACTGGAAAGGATGAGCTGTTTTTCATGTTTTGGAGCTGTACCTGATCATGTTGGATATTATTGGTTTATATGCAACAAGAAAGGTAAGTTTGGGAAATGTGGCCAATAAACAATGTCTTTGATTTCTTTAACTCAGTGTTTTTTTTTTTTTTTTTTTTTTTTTTTTTTTTACTCTTTCTTTCTACCATTCCTGTAGACAATTTGAAATACCTTATTTTATTTTGCTTATATTTATAAATGACAGAGAAAAGGAAGGCACAAGGGAGAGAGAGGAGAAGAAATCACAGTTGATGGTCTAGGTATAACTTATGTAAGCAGAGTAATCTTAAGGGGTCTAAAGCCATTAGACTCAGTATTTTTTTTAAAGTTAATGATATTTTAAAAACTCCTAAAAATTTTTTGTAATATTATTGAAAGTTAATATTTCATGAGAAAAGGTCACATTTGTTTTCTTTGTCTTGCTTCTTTAAAAAGTGAATTGATACAATTGGATAAATTTTTAAAGGTGACGAAGTTCTTCTAAAAGTATATATTTGAATAATACTAATGTACCTGCATTATGGAAATAATTTAATGAATTTATCTAGAGAATTTATATCATTTTTAACTTTTAAAAATTGTTAGTATTCACAAACTTTACAATAGACAACTAGTCAAATTATTGCATGAATTTTGCATTTTAATTGCTAAGTTTGCTATGGCTACTGCTTCTACAATGTAAGAGAAGTGTTTTAAATTTTAAATTAGATTCTATTGGTCAGACCATCCTTCCTTCTTCTTGTTCATCTTCTTTTTTTTTTTTTTTTTTTTTTTTTTTTGAGACAGGATTTCTCTGTGTAGCTTTGGAGCCTGTTCTGGAACTCGCTCTGTAGACCAGGCTGGCCTTGAACTCACAGAGATCCTCCTGCCTCTGCCTCCCAAGTGCTGGGTTTAAAGGCGTGTGCCACCAACGCCGGGCCTTTTTTTTCTTTTTTTTAACCTTTCTGATCTTTCTCTCTTCACGTTGTTTTTACAGACCTCAGTTTTTTTTTTAAATTAACTTATTATTTTACATGTCAATCCCAGTTCCCTCTCCTTCCCTCCCTCCCTCCCTCTCTTTTACACTCTCTGCCCCCTCACATGCAACCTGACCACCCTCCCCTCCCATCCTCCCACCCCAATTTCACATGTAGGGCAATGCCATCCAGGTGGTATCATGTAGATCTGTCAGGTCATTTGAAGTAGGGACTAGGACTTCTCTCCTGTCTCCAAGTTAAGGCAATATCCCTCCATGTAAGGGGATATGTTCACAAGCAGACCTCAGTTTTATCAACTGAAGACTTCTATTTTGTTGCTACAATTTTTTATGAGTATTTTTTTAAACCCAGGATTCTATTATCTGTAGTAGTAACTTGATTTAATGCAAACTGAACCTATAGAATAATCTTTAACATGTTTTAGTTAGTAAAAGTGTAAACTTAATATAAAGTAAGATATGATGCAAGATCATAGTGGGTTGAAGAAGCTTCTTGAATTGAATGATAGAATTAAGTCATTAATGTTAGAAAAAAGTTTGTAATAGTTTGGGCTTCATGTTTTCAGTAGAAAGTTTTTATTTTAAGTTGTCCCAATGGAACGTCTTAGTGCAATGCAGTTATGTCCTTAAATATTTTTTGCTATAATTATTATATACAGGCAGAAAAATGCCTCTTTAATTTCTGTGATTTTGTAAAAAATGCTCTAGTTGTCTTCTGGGTATCTTTTATGCTGACATACAACTACCCCTGATAATTGTCATTTACAGGATACTTTCCTCCTTTGAATTTTTTAGTGTAGTTGTGCTCATGTATAAAATGGGCATAATAAGAGATGTTTATCATGTATTGAAACATTGTTTTCATATTCATTCTTTAACAATAAATCCTTATAAAGGAAGCTGAATATTATATGCTATATTGCATATAATTTAGAGTTGTAAAAATGATGTCATATCTTATGGACACCCTTAACATTGAGATTTTCATTTTCTGATCACAATCATACATACATACATACATACATACATACATACATACATACATATA